GCTGTTTTGCGGTCGCGCATTGGCTATTGTGAAAGTACTGACGTAATCATACAGCCGTCATCATCCCGATTTCAATCCTAAATATCAAACATGTTTGATATGATCGGGGCGGCCCCGATTTGTGTGCGAGCAGATCGGGAGGTGCAAGATTCGATCTGTGAACGCCTCACATTACCAGATAATCCGCGCCGAACATCGGGAGCGATCGAGGGGCTCGACAAGATTTTTGCTCCGATTCTCGGGAGGGGGAAATCGGGGCTAAATCGGGCTAAAAATCCTGTAGTGTGAGCCAGGCTTTAGAGTGGGACCATATATGCAGTGTTAATTTAACACTCAGGATTTTACTGTGTAGGATGTGTTAGTTTTGGAGCATTTCACTGTCAAATTTTACTATTAAATGCTATAACAATAACATGTATTTGTCCCATGAATCCACATAATGAAGGGAGGTCCCTATAATCTGAAATCAAAGCTAACAAACAATATCTTACATCCAAACCTTGCATGCCTGCTGAATGAAGTGTTTAAATTACTTTTGCCATGGAAGGTGACATTACTTCCATAACACAATAATGATTATATAAAAATCGACTGAGGACTGTACTATATTCACAGTAATTTTTGGTGGCATACCTGTTCTTTCCTCCTGTAAGTGTGACAGCTGTTGATTAAAAAAATCAAGAAGTGATGCTTTTTGACTGAAATAGTGGTTTGCCAACGATTTGCAATTTGCCAATGACTTTAGATATCACATACTTTGTACTGGTGAAGGCGTGAATGTTGGTAGGTTTCTACACTGTAAAATCTAATTAGTTGGGCTTACTTAAAAAAAGCTTTTTTTTTTAATTCACCATTATAGTGATTAGCGTTCCCTTTGGTTGTGCACTTTGAACTTGGCATTCATTACTATAATTTTTTTCCTGTTAATGCAGTTATGCATCATGAAGTCAAAGTTATATGATTTCAAAGAAAGAAAAATAATAAATAGATTGTTTTTAGAATGTGACTTATCTTCTAATTAATGCATTTATTGTGTGTGTTTATTAAAGAACTTTATGAAATTTCATATTTCATAAATTCCGTGAGGTGCTTTTATTTGGGTTTATATAATCCTTAAATCGTGTGTGGAAATATGTTAAAGTCACACACAGACTTAAACATTCAGCAGGTGAATCACAACAATGGTAACAGTTCAAGTTCATTTATTTTCATTAATTGTAACAATAACCATTTTATTTGCTCTTTTTGTTGTGCTACTACTGACACAAGACAGCAAATAAAATTGTCAAATAAAATCAAGAACTGTAAAACAAAGCAACTGCATAATTTATTCATGCCGCAATGCACTCTGGGAGTCAGTGAGTAGCTATATTAAGTCATGAGTAAACCTAAATGAAAGGATCAAGTACCCCCTACAGTTCTTTTTTAGTTACTAGAACTCTCGTGTAAGTAAACTATACTAACTAAGCATCTGTCAGTACAACATACTATTCCTATTTCACTTTACTTAGTTGTTTCAAGGCAATCGGTTTGCATGCTTTTTTTAAGTAAGCCCAACTAATTAGATTTTACAGTGTAGGTGTGATTTGAACATCCACTGAGAATAAGCGAAACAATGATTAAGGTTCAATAACTATTAAAAGGAAACAGTCATTTTTTATAGCATGATTCTTTTTGTAATATTAAACACAGCAGTCAAAAACTGACAACTTAATGTAGTGTTGAATAGGTCAGGGGTCGGGCACGTTTCATCTAAATGTGTTGGGCACAAAACCTGACCTTTATCACAAACAAGGACATATGACAAATTAGAACATTAACAAATTTGTAGAATGTTTAACCCATATCTACACAAGTCACAGCAGTTTATTGTACCTCTGTTGTACCTTTGTTTTACTGTTTGAAGAACGTGCAGAGCCTCCATATGGTTTGTGTTGACCCTCAACTGTAAATTAAATTAAATTGATATTAACCCCCCGAATAAAAACTCAAATTTGTTAAATCAGGTAAGAATATTTTCAAACTGAGAACTTACCTGGCTGTGGTTTTGGTTGGTTATATTTTGGAGGTGGCTCTGGGTAGGACACAGTCCTTTTAACAGCTTGTTTATTTTTTATTTCGATCAGGTTCTGCTTTTCATTTGTACAAAAACAAATTATGTTAATCCAACGCTGTTATGGCTAAGCTTGTAATACGGAACAGTTTTTAAAATATTACATTAACTACTAAACTGAACTATTACACAACTTTTACTGCAGAGCTCTTAAACAATTCTGATCAATTTCACATAACACCTAATTTAACATACGTGCAATGATTAGGCAATCAAATCATTGTAATTCCAGAACAAATACCGTTTCAGGGTTTATATTCCAATGTCTTTATTTTTTATTTAATTAATTTTTTTGGAATGCTCACAGTAATGTCAAGAAAGAGTTACAAGAGGTAGTGGATGAACATCTCCCCTATGACATGAGACAACCTTTCAGAACACCAGAAGTCACCATCACTAGTTGAAAAAGTAAAAGTAGGCAACTCACGTTTTTTGGATGGAAGGAGACTCTGACTGAGCTGTGTCAAGTCAATATCAGTCACGTCACTGTCATCTTCAAGGTCCAAGTCTAAATTGAATAAAACAGAAATAAATTAGTGACATTTTGAGGTTGACATATGAACAATAGTGCATGACTGCAGTAACACATGATTATCTAAAGCATCTTTGAAACACAAAATAATACTGTACCATTAACAAAGTCATGGTAGACTTTCCTCTTTCTAGTCCTTTTTGCCTCTCCCCGATTGTCCATTACCTAAAAAATAAAACAAGAGGATAGAGTTTAACTTTCAGCACACTACATTCTGTCCATTTATTCCAAAAGCAGAAAAGCAATTTGACATTAGTTTGCATTATGCATGCTAGTAATTGTATATACAAAAGTATAATAATTGTTTTATGTATTTTTGTGTTTGTATGAATTATACCTAAGTCATAGCATGCTGACCACTGTTAACCACAAGATTAAAAACACCAGGTGGATTTAATGTTGTTGTTAAATACTGTGTTATGTGCCTTTCCAATCCCACTCCTTTCTAAACTGAAGCACCAGTGGGAAAATTATTATAAACAATGTATTTATTAATAATAGTTATTACCAAGTAATTCTGGTGTGTGCAGCTGAGGGAATATAGCGTAACCCTGTTTGTACGGGAGACACACAGCCTTTCTGTACACTGTAAAAAATGATCGTGATTTTAACGGTAAAAGACTGTAGAAATGCCACAGTAAAAACCTGTTAAATGATTTACAGTAAGTTTACTTTCAGTATACGGTGAATAACTGTAATAGATCTAACCTTTGTTTTCGAGAAAGTAGCCTCAGAGTCAACACGCATAGACTGTCTGAAATCACACCCTACACCCTCATTCACTATTCCCTACATTAGTTCACTATATAGTCCACTAGACCGAGTGATTGAAAGCAAATGAGTAAATTCAGACACTGATGAACATCTGCTGTTAACAAGCAGAATCACTGAAGGAAAGAACAAGAAACAAAACTATAACTGACTTCCAGTCACAGCCTTAGACGAAATTAACCAAAATAAAACAGCAGAGGAGGATAACACAACTCCACAAACAGCATTACCAGCTTCACTCATTACTAACCAGACTCACTTTATTTCTGTGATATATCTACAAAAATTCTTTGAGAATTAATCGAGGTTTATATTGTATTGAAAATGTTTTGTTTGGCCTCACCATTTTGGCGATCAGTGGTTGCTTTAGTTGGGCTCTTGACCCTTGACTCTCTAACGTCAGTCTTTTTGTGCTGTTGTATCTGTGTATGTAGAGCACATTTGTTATGACAAGAAGAGCTGAGAGAAATTTTTTTACTATTAATATTTATTACATTAACTTTTTTTTTGGTTGTCACCAATCTTGAGATTCATAGGCTGACTGCTGATGTCTGTGTGCGTTTAAATTCTGCCATAGTACAAAGCTTTTGTTTGTGCATATTGTGCTTAGGAATGTTTCACAATGATTGCGGTAGTATCAGTGGTGCAACTCAAGAGTATTAGTTATATATTACACACTTAATAAGACATTAAACATTAGGTGAGATCAGTGAATCACACTAGTTCATGATGGTCTTGACATCACAAACACCAGTTTTATCTGATCATAGATTCTTTAGGCTTTTCTTGCTACAAAAACTGTTAAATAAACGCAGCTAATTTAAGCAATCAAAGAAAAACTATTTTTAAAAAGTCAAGGTTCAAGAGCCCAACTAAAGCAAACACTGACCGCCATTATGGTGACTTCAAATGAAAGTACAACACCTAAAATCTCAATAAGAGCTTTTGTACACATATGACAGAAATAACGTCACACTGGTTAGTAATAAGAAGCTGGTGATGCTGTTTGTGGAACTGTTTAATCCTCCTCTGCTGAGATCTTGATAAATTTAAATTCAATTGATTTCATCTTTGGCTTTGGCTGTAAGTTGTGTTTCTCTGCTCTTGTTTCTCTTTCCTTCAGTGATTCTGCTTGTTAACAGGTGTTCATCACTAATGCTCAATCCTCATTTAATTATCTCATTAACTTCATCACCGCTTCAGTGTCACTTCAATACTCTGTAGTGTGGACACATATAAGTGCTCTATAAAACTGAGGATTTTGCTTTGGGATTAAAGGGGTTAAATGAGTGAGATGAAGAAAAACACACTGTGAAATGTATTTTTTACAGAAATATACTGTTAATTTAATTTATGGAAGCAAACTGTAAAATACTGTAGATTACTCCAATAGTATGTTCCTGCACAACCGGAGGCTGCAGTTTCAGGACCGCAGTTCTAGGACCCTATTCTTTTGTAACAGCGCCACCTACCGAATTGGATCACTAAAGATGGACGACATGGACAGCAATCAGAGTGAGTAACTTTACCGATTTTCAATTAAGTTTTATTTTATAACCTTAAAACGATGCAAAGTTTACGTAGCCAACGTGAGAACTGCTAAGAAATAATAATTAATTCCCGATTGCTAGTTTTATTGATTATTACGATGTTTTTAATTCGTGGGCATGATTTAATTAAGCTAAACCTTGTTGACATAATGACTACAATAAGTAAATCTAGCCAGCACATTAATTAAACTTAAAAAGATGATAAAAGCATGTTGATGTGAGATGTGTCAGATTTACCTGTAGCTTACTGTATTAGTGTGAAAACTTGTTTGATACTCATTGTTTTAGCATATTAGTTAAGTATAAATCATCTTTCATAATTAAACTGGGCTCATTGCTTGGTTGCACCACAATATGTGTTATTAGCCTGTCCTTTTGGCAGTACTTTAGATTGATCTGGTTGATGTTTGAAGGCATGGTCAGCGGTTTGCCTTCTGGACTGATGAGGCCAGAAACTTGCTCCAAGGAACTCTTCAGCCAGTGTACAGAGTGCTATCTCAGAGGAGATCCACATTCAGGCTGTCGATGACCACACTGCAGAGGTAAAGAGACTGCTGGACTTCATTGTAAAGTTACAGGGATCTGAGGAGCATTTAGTGGTACTTAAACAATGTTCACATTTAATCATCATTACAAACAAACTCATAGTAAAGGTTCACCAAGGGCCTTAATTAGGAATAACATTAACAATATCTTTTAACTATGCTGCAAATTATTGTATCTTTATCTTAAATGTATCAATTTCCTCAAAATAACTGTTTTTGCTCGATGGTTTGCCCATAGGGTGTACTCAGTGGGAAGCCCTCTAAGGTCTCATAAGCTAACCTCTTCCCGAGTGCCTGTCTATCTCGACAGTGAGGAACAACTGTCCTGTTTGCCTATCTGAGAGGAGTGCTGCATAGGACACCAACACAACTGAGCTTCACAGATGAAGTGCAGAGGTATGCCGGACCATGTAATGTGTTTGTGAGTGTCCTGCTCCTGCACTTACAAAATCTACTGTATAAACTGCATGCTGGTGCTACTCGTGTATGGACCAATGTATAATGGCTTGCTGTTCAGTAGTGCTATAATAGTATACTTAAATTAACTGTTTTTTCATAGGCCATCATATATGCCCTGGCTGTCCTACGGAATTTCTCATTGCAGGAGGCTGAGCAGGTCTTCCTTTCTGGTCCGGATTATCATTACAGGTCAGAGTAGAATATGAATTATTTTTGCACAATGCCCAGTGCACCTTTTGTTACTGATATTTCTGTTAACCCAACAGTGATTGTTCTCTGATAACTATTTCAGTGAAGTGGAAGATTTTAATAGAAGGATTGACGGTAACACTTTCTATGAAGCCTGTATTTATAATACATTATAAGGTTATTCTTAAAGCATTATAAGGAATGAATAATGCATTATAAGAAACCTTATAATATGTTGCATCATCTTATAAATAATCGTAAGAACAGTTTTAATGTATTATAATACTTATTTGTGGTTAAGTGTATGATGATTTATAACACACAATGAACACATTGCATCCACTTAAGTTACAATGGATTATATTTCTCATAGTTATAATGTATTATAGGTCTCATATCTTGCCATTGTTTAAGATCTGCACAATAACTTAGTACATCTTATTTGTGTTTTTACTGTAAAATAACAAATACAAAGTCTTCATGAAAACATTCCAAAATGCTTTAATGTGGTCTTATTATTATTAAGTGCTCTTTGTCTGCTTTAAGTGAAGTAACTTCACTGTACTTAAAGCAGACAAAGACCACTTATAAATAATAATAATAATATTTTTTCTCAAACAGCCATAAGATCTGATATCAGATCAGATGAATGTGTACACATTTGCTTTGAACTATTTTTATTGTAATATCAATTTGATTATTTTGATGGTAGCCTTTAGACAACTGTTGATAAGTAACTCTGCGACTACATGTCAACTAGCAGTCATTAGAGTATTAGTAGACTGTATGCTAAATATCTGCTAACACTTTTTTTGATGGTTCCCCAACAGATATTCTACTCACTATAAGCAACTTTGCAAGTACATCAATTTATTCTACCAACCCTAACCTTAACTAAGCCTACTAATACTCTAATGAGAGTTAGTTGATGTAGTTGCAAAGTTGTTTATAGTCAATAGACTAAAGGGGACCATCAAAATAAAATGTAATCTAATAAAAAAACACACGTTGCATTTTTTTCATTTGAAAGTATTACAACTGATCTTAAACTAGCTCACAGCAAAATTAATATTAACCTCACAGGAAACACTCAAAACAACACTCAACCACTCCTAACCACTCACAAGATGTAGTAAGATACTGTCCAGATCTTAAATAAACAATGTCAAGATAATCCATTATAAATTAAGTGGATTTATTATGGTATTCATTGTGTGTTATACGTAATCATACTCTTAAAAGTTATAACCACAAATGCGTATGTATTATAATGTATTATAAATGTTATGATTATTTATGAGATGATACAACATATTATTAAGCTTTTTTATAATGCTTTATGCATTAATTATAATGCCTTAAGAAAACCCTTATAATGTATTATAAATACAGGCTTCATAGAAAGTGTTACCGGATTGACAAACAATTGAGGAAAGAAGAGAGAACATTCAGTTTGTGGGTTTTGCTCTTATATACTTACATTTGGAGTTTGGAGTTAGATGTTAGTAACATGATTATTCTGTTTGGTTCTCTCTCTCTCTACAACCCCAACAGTGCATAAGTGTTAAATCAGAAATATATATTACAGAGTTAAACATGTTAAAGCAAATGTTTCTTATTTAATTCTCCCTCCTTCTCTCTCTCTCTTTTTTTTATCTCTCTCAGGAGTTGAAGCCTACAGCCTTTCTGTCCATGCAGCAACTGATGGAAAAGGGGGTCTTTTTTTATGATGTTGTATTATGTGTTATTGCAAAAATGAGTATATACAGTATATAAATATGCATTCTTGAATCATTCTTGAGTCTTGTGTCTTGCCTCTCTACAAACTTTTAAATATCTGGCTGTAATTTAGTGACTGCAAATGCTGATTTCATTTGATTCCATCTTTATTATACCTGATAATGAGCTAGTTAAACTTAAGGGGGCTAATCAATATACAGTATATTTCAAGAAACTAAGACTTAAGGTACTCCACTTTTTCAGTTGTTTAAAGACTGAAATACATTTTTCATTTATATTTTAAGTGTAAATTCATTTAAATTTAAAATTGTTAACTCAAAGCAGGTATTACACACTTTGTAATTAACATCTGAAGCATTTATAAATCAAAAATCACAATTGAAAAAAAAAATAAATAAATTCTGAGATTCAATATCTTTAACAACATGTACAAACATTACTACAAACTAAACCACCAGGGTCCTAGAAATGCGGTCCTGAAACTGCAGCCTCCGCTATATTATCCAATTCGGTAGGTGGCGCTGTTACAAAAGAATAGGGTCCTAGAACTGCGGTCCTGAAACTGCAGCCTCCGCTATATTATCCAATTCGGTAGGTGGCGCTGTTACAAAAGAATAGGGTCCTAGAACTGCGGTCCTGAAACTTGGCAACCACAGCTGCCGGTATTTCACCGTAAAATCAAGAAAAGAAAACAGCAAAATACTGTAAAACCTAACAGTCAACTTCCTGTTGTGTTTTGTGGGTCACCATTGTGCTGGAGAGCAGAGCCTGTGTTTAAATAAAGTACGGACAGAAAAACACTGATGTTATGCTGCTTGTTGTTTTATTTAAAGGCAATAACTGTGTAATTATTGATTCTCTTCAATAATTTCAATCACTCATGAATGTGTGCTGCTGTTATCTGCAAGAGATTTGAGTTGAATTTATGCTTTTAATGACTTTGCATAAATCGGTAGGTTTTTCTTCATGGATTTAAGCAAAATAGTTTTTAAGACCAATATGCAACCATAGCTGCAGGTTTTTTACTGTAAATTTAAATGAAGCATTTTGTTGATTGTCACAATTGTTGAGATTCATATGCTGGTTCTTGATGTCGCTGTGCATCTAAATAGAACAAGAGTTCAATTTTTTATATGTATAACATACATTTTACAATTAATTTAAACAGTTCTGTAAAACCTAAAATGTTGCTACCATATTTTTCACGGTAAAGTTCTGGCAACCACAGCTGCCGGTATTTTACTGTAAATTTAAACAAAGCATTTTGTTGATTGTCACAATTGTTGAGATTCATATGCTGGTTCTTGATGTCTCTGTGCATCTAAATAGAACAGGAGTTCAATTTTTTATATGTATAACATACATTTTACAATTCATTCACTATATCTATTAGAGCAGTGTTTCTCAACCCTGGTCCTGGGCGCCCCCCAACA